CGAGGGCAAATTGCTGGGTCTCAAAGAATGGCTATCGATTACTAAATTCATTACCCTTCGTGCTGCCAAGAACTGTGATGGTATATTTTCTGATGAGATTGCTGTGTTATGTATGCCAACTTAGTGATGTCCCATCTGTAATCCTCAATAAAAAGCTCTCCTCGACTGCGCACCACCTTGGGCATTTTTAGCATTACGAACATACCTGGGTCTTGAATGCAGCCTATTCTTTGACTGGATGAGGGGTGTCGTTGCTTCAGTGAATAAATACTGGCGCAATTCTGTACATGCGCACATGGCTGTTTCGTATCCGATTTTGATTACTCTTTACGTGTACCGGAGACCCCTGCAAAATAACGTTGATAATTTTTGCGTGTTGAGTCAAACTTCACCAAAACGAGTATTGCACCTTTTGAACCTAAAGTGAATTCTACTGATACGCATCTCATGCAACTGATTGTTCAGAGTAGTAAACATCGCACGACATTCCAGTAACAGACTAAAAAGTCCACAGTTTGTATCCTTGTTTGGCAAATAAATCGCAATAAAGTTGAATCCGATAGGTCAGTCGGTGGAGAATCAAAATCCAAATGAAATACACAGTATGCACAAATAATCAAATGCAAATGATCATGCATTGAGACCATATGAAATTGATCACAAGGGAAGGAATAATTACATAAAAAAGAGACGGGTAAGCCCAGATTCGCTTCGCCCTTGAAAGTCAAAAACGTGAGCACATCAAGAACGAATACAAAACGGATTTACATGTCGCTTCCAAAATGTCTACCTGCAAATTTTTTCCGCCCCGATACAAAACTGATTACGCAAAAAGGGAATATTCTGGATCTGCACTGAAAAGATAGGGAAAAATTCGATCTCCTCAATGCATGCCTCTCAGACCCGGAAGATATTGTTTTAACTACGCAAGTTATCATTTTGCGTGGCACAGAAAAATTGGCGGTGGTGGCGGTAAACTGGTAGCTGTCAAAACTAGTCTCACGCATGCTCTGAACGGACGCAGAAAACACGGCAAGGACTGAGGTACTTTATTTTTATGTGAACCGTAGTCCTACAGAACAAGGTAATCAATGATGAATTTAAAACGGACTTTGGACTGGGTCACTTGACGCCAGCATATGGACAATATCAAACATGGAGGAAGAGTATGAGATGTAAACTTGTGATACAGTCAAACCAAAATAGAAGTGTACAGTCATAAACACAAAAAAGTGTAGTAGCAGGCAGTTATTAAATAAATAAGCGTTCAACTTTGGTATTCTGTCATTTGTAATCGAACTACTCAAATATTTACAGTAGTTAAATTGCAAATGCCGAAACATTCAAATTCTCTTCCGGAGCATTTCCGCTTCCCCAGAGTTTGAAGATCGTTTCGTGTCTGTGGCGGAAACGCTTTCGTCCATAATTGGCTCATTTCGATGTAATCCGATTTTCGTTGCAGCCTCCTCTGAAAACTCTATGAAACTCTTTAGGGCGTGTAGAAAATCTATGCGGTTTCCATCTGAATGTCTTTTAGGCGCCTATCACTCCAACCGTGACTCATGTAATTCACACCCTGACTCACAATGTCCACCCAGGCAACCGTGCCCATTAGAGATCACGTTGTGGTCGTGGCAACCAGAGTTCGGATAAGAAATTACGAGTGCTAAACAGAACGAAATAGCTGTCCAGTACTGTTTGTTGGTTATCACAAACATTTCTATAGCATAAGAAACAAATATTTCACACGAAGTCACTTCCGTATTAGTTGTAACCCCTTCTATCTTCGAAGGCTTGACTGAGAATAATTGATGTGAAATTCTAAGCATCATTCCAAAACTAACTGCCACGAACTCCCACAGCGGACTTCATCTCAGCTACAAAAGTTCCGGAACTGAAATAGGCTGGGTACAATATGGATGTAGTTGTGGGGTTGCATTCTTCATCCAGGCGGTTCCACGAACTAGTATCTTCCAATTTAGCGTTGACTTCCCGCTATGGGGAACCGTGTATATTAGCTGCATGCGACTGTGTCCTGGAGGAAGTCCCCGACCTTATTTGGTATTCCATTTTGTAGACATTCACTGTCTGGCAATTTAGTCTGGTAGGACGAAAATGGTGCTGCAGTTTGTTCCCAGATTTTAACTTTCCTTTACATCAATTGTGGGAGGTGCACTGAACCATTTTCATATGCTTAGAATCGGAACGAAGAGTAGCTGTGTTCTTTTGTCAGATCACTCGTCCAGATCGCAGACTCGTTCTGATTCAACCAGGTATACGTTTGTTGCGTCCTGGAGGTGTGTATATGTGTGTGTGGCACGGGAACCGATTTCGTTGTCTGCAACCAAGAGGAGTGGACGAAGCAAGGACATCCCTATCCCATATTTTTACAATGAAAGTAGTAAGAAGTAAACAGCTCATAAAAACAATTTAACAATCAAATAAACAAATCGTTTTTCCATATGTGAGGAAAATACATAATTATTTTACCGAAGTACTGGCAACGAATGATATTACAGCCAGCAATAATGCATACCATCTAGGTCCCAAGTGCGGTGAACACGATGACTGGGTGGTGTTCTTAACCATTCCCTCGTTTCAATCGATCAAGTCAATATGCTTTTTGGCAAAAATCGAAAGGTATTCCTTTTGCAACTTACTTTTAAATCTCATATACTTTCCCTTACTTGTAATGAAACAGTTTTTGCACGGTTGCATTGTATTACTTTAGCTATACAGGCCTCATCAGCGCTTATCATTGATCTGATGCAAATGAATAACAGCTTATTGTTCAGGTTATGCACACACGTTCGTTCCTGTGCCGTATTTTATGCAGAGCCTTAATGATCTCACAATGACAAGACACTATTCGACCCCTGTCGCTTGCGAAATTCCCGCAATATAAAACGAAATTTGCATATTATTCCAGCTTCTCCTCATCCAAAATACCTTCACACACACACACGCATACACAAACGATCAATGTTAAACAACTCCACAGTTCTGCCCCCCCCCCCAGTCCTTTTATTTTACATCCCCCGGGACCACATATTATGTTTCTTTATGCAAAGCATTACGTTTACTCCATGCTTTCGCTGTAATGCATTTTCACTCCGCTTATATCTACTGCATATCTGGTATCCGAATATGCATCCAACTATAAAATGAGCCCAGATCTTCATTTGATTGTGCAGTAACTGCTGAATCACCCGTTTATTTTGTAACCAGTTCATGGAATTAAGTAAATCAAACGTGACAGATGATGTATACTAGGGAAATGTCAAAAACGTAATTGAATTAGGAAACATACTATTGTGACTAATAACTGTACCAAACAACAACAATTAAACACTGAATGAACAGAACAACAACACTGAAAGATCTTTAATCATTTATCAGGTATATTTCAGGTGTCACTGTTCTCAACTTGACCTTGAATTCGTGCACGTCTGATCAAAGCAAATGGGATGTGCTTTTAAGAACAAAGGTGCCAATAACTTAGTAATCATTTATAAATTGCTTGAACTTTAATCCAGTATTATGCAATTTTAGCTTCCACAACAAGTGTATTATCCTCATAATAGTCGTTCACTGCATTCACTAGTCGTAATATGGCATTCCTGAGATTCGTTCCTTTAAACAACAGTCCAGGATCGACAAACAAACACAATCAATCGGAATAGAAACTTATCTGGTAGAGCACCTACTTCACTTCAAAGCCATTTATCACCCGGCAAGTAAAATCACTCGCTACATGTTGGTTTCAACTCTTTAAGTATCACAATTAGGAGATATTTGAGTTTAGACAAATGAAATGATTTACCAAAACAGGTATCAACTAGAGACGCCGGATCACCACGCAAAAGCCATTAGGATGTATCCTTGGAAGACGACAAAAGTAATCCAGAACCAGTCAATTAATTCGCCAAATAATCAAAGTAAGATACTGACTTTATCCTATATCCACGAGAACAAAAAGAATCGCTTTTGTTTTATTGTACAGAACAACATTACTTCAAATTGAAATATCTTTAATATCTGCATGTATATTTAGTTACAAAACTAACTTAAAGCGATAGCTTTAGAGATGTAAAATCATTGTACACCTTCATCGGAAGACGAATTTTGAGAATTCGGAAGCACAGTTTCCCCGTAACCAATTCAAAGTGGGAAGCCCCAAATACAGATTTGCACAATGTATCCATGGTCATTGTTGCACACCATCTGTACGCGTGCATACTGGTTACTGTGTCATGCTACGAAAGGCGCTTAGAATACTAGACAACGTAAATAACACCAGGGTTGTGCTATACGCCGAGGCACTCACCGATCCAAATCACTATCCCCAACTGTGTAGACAGAGTGAGTCGTTTAGCAATCTGGCTCTACCTTGGTAAGAGAGGTATTTGATGAGTGATTTGGATCACAATCTTTCTCGGTCTATGCATGAATCTGTTATTTCCGATCATATTTAGATGATCCCATAAACTGCAACATGCACGTGCAAAGATGCAGCAATATTATCTAAGATGCATTGGTCAAATCTGTGTTTTCGGCTTCTCCTTTGAAACACCTTCATTGATTTGAGTGATCTCGCACAAACCTATTGACTATCGGCGTAAACCATGTTTCTTGAATTACCTAATGGCATTTTTAGGAAATTGGAGGTATTTATTGCAAATTATTTGTTTTGTGATTTACAACAGATAGCATTTATTTGTATTTGCAAAGAGCTCTTCTTTACTTTCAGGTCAGGAAAATTGAAGTACTGTCCGGAAGCCAATTAGCCATGATTGTCAATGCGGCAGTATAATTGAATAGGGAACAATGAAGCGATGAAATAAAATTTAGCCTTCGCTTTCTAACACGTACATTTCTTTTTACACAAAATAAACAACCAAAACACTTACTTCAATAAAATATATGGATGGGATTATTTGAAGCAGTTTGGCACACCACCTCGTAGTGACGCTCTTTAATAAAACTGATTACGATTTTTATTAGGCCATTTTGAGTGTCAATTGACCAAACTTCGTTCGATATGCACTTTTTTGGATAGACTGATTGAGATTCCACTCGTCCGGGATACCACATTGGACCACATTTTGAGCAACATTTTTATTCAAAACCAACGGACCTGGTTTGCAAATTATCGGTACTTTGGACGCATTGTCCAACACCTCGGCAAACACTTGCTTCCTCCCAATCTGATTGGCACGACACGTGACATTGTACCAACCAGTCGACAATGCCTCTGGCGCGTCCAGTTCGCAAGTGCTGTCGATCCATGTGAGGTTTGAATCACACTCACTCTGATCAGACCAGCGGACGGATGCTGCAATCCTTGGTTTGCTGGTCATCACGTCATCCATTCTCCTTTGTAGCAAGTCTATCTCCATAGTCCGATTTGGAGGATCAGAACAAAGCAATGTGAACAAATACAAGAAAACCCACTTGATCGAACAATTTAGAAGCAAAAGTGGAGAGCACTCCCTGTTGAGAAAGCTATGGTCAAATCGTTCATTTGGTAAAGATGTTTGCCAACCGCAACTCTCAGATCAAACACCACAATTGGATCAGTGAACCATCCCGGTGGAGTTGGCTAAAATCTCTGATTGAGAATCAATCCAAACGAAACGAACCCATCTCTTTGGTTACCTAGTTGATTGACCATTGCGATGTCTTGGGCACCTTGAACGATTAACCTCATTCAAAAGGTGAGGTTTGATGAATTGTACATCGCCCCACAAAGATTCGGGGAGTTCACACACCGCTCTTTACTGTGCAGATCCGGTTTTTTCTATGAACAAAAGAACAAAATATTTGATTATGTTACCATGCCTTCACTGTTCAGGCATCTGTAGCAGATTTATTCCTGATCTAACTGGAATGTAAGCTGTTTTACTGCACTATAATCCATCTACAAACACCTGTCCGACTTACACGGAAATACATTTATTCTTTTTGATCCCAACAACTATTTCATACATTCAAAAACATCAAACCATGGATACAGTTTATCATGGAATTTACAAAGGATATTTTCCCTATTTCTTGAAGTGGGGATCGACTGGCTATGGGTAAAGTGATCGCATGGAACAGAATATCGCTCCGTGAGATAAAGTGAGTAGGACTATGTACTAACTTGATGGGCTTTATTTCACTGCAATATGAAAGGATTCAGACAAGCTGCTACGGATACAAAACCAGAAAAGTTGGCCTTGTGCGCACTTTAGAAGAAGAGGTAAATAAGTTACGATGCTGCGTTCGTAGTCCCATAAATCCGGATTTATTTAGGTTGCGTCCTAGCCCAAACCAGGAATTGATCAACTAAGCACAGACAGTTTATCCCAGTTCTCTTGATCACTCTTCAGAGATTCTTCCCTGTGAGCCTGTAATAGTAGTCACATCGGATAACCAACAGGACGAGTATGAAAATAAATAGCATAGTAAAGCGCGGGTGTACTTCCAAGGAGCACAGTTGAGAACACTGAACTGCAAACAGAGTGCGGAGGCAACCAACTCCACTGACACTGACGCTTGACTTCAACTGATCAGGACTGAATAGCAAACTGTTCACTGGTCGGCGGAGGTAACCAAGCAGTTGATAGGGAACTGAAATCGTCTGTTGCCCTCCCTTCACCCCGCTCAAGTATTCCGAAGTAGTAGTGACGGATAACTAACACTTCAGCTAAGCGATTATGCATATTATAGGTGACAATGTCAAATTAAAGCCGGACGATGATGCAGAAAATTCGAGTGTATTCAAAAAAAAATGTATTCAAGGTTACAATTTCTGTTTCAGACACACTGGACAGACCAATCAACAGCCGAATATTCATAACCGAGAGGGAGTACGGACACGCCAAACCTATGGATTACCAGAATTGTGTTAATTCATGCGTTCCATTTTGATCGATGAACATAGATGACTCGTCCCATCATGGTTTACAGCAGCGGTCGACCGAACTGCTAACTACCAATTAAAGATTCGAATGTTCGGCATAGTTCCAAGGACAATTTAAATTAACGTTTAAAAACAATAAAAATAATTGTCCTGTTTCACAAGACCACTGTGATTAGCCTTCATGTGATCAAAAAAGAGGTTATTTTTCGGAATATTTATCAGTGAAATATTACCATTTATACATCGAACATGAGATCCTTGTTTCTTGAGGAAGCATATGGAAAAACTGATGGCGTTCCCGTTGGTAGTACAGTGCGAATTATCCTTTTTTCTGATCAGTTGGAACAAAAGCTAACAACAATCAATCTATATTGTCAATTTGCGACCATGTCCACCAGCTAACACTGTCCAGTCGTTGGGATCAACAGGATGATAATGTCCAGTTTTCTCAATGTAAAGTTTCGGTTTGGGTATTATCTACATTTCACGGGCTTCACTCGAATGAAACAAATTGTTGGTCTCGTTTGCTCACTACTTCAAACAGGGTGTGGCTTGTAAATAGAAAATGTGTTCCAAGATTGAGGCAAGCTCGTAAGAAAACAATAAAACCGAATGAACATGCAAAGATCTTCATCAATACACAATAATAAGTGAAATGGAAAGCTCATGAGCGTGGAGTACGTGAAGGTTGTTTGATTGACTGCTGAAGTCCTACGTTGACAGTTGTTAGAGATGACTGGATGCGTCTTGTGCTGAGACCACTCTGAAATTAATAGAACAGCTAGAATTGTGATATTGTGTACACATATCATGGTTTTGAAGAACCTGTTGTGTTCAGCAAAAGAAAGAGTAGTTGTGAATGTTATAGTGTTAATAACACGGCGATGTCGGTAGAGAATTATATTCGCCGACGTTTCG